GCTTCTGTGGCCTGGCTGCTGTTAGCAGCCGTGTGTTACACGGGAATCCAGGAGTGCGCTTCGGGGTTTAGTTTCATCCAAAAGTTTGTGCGTTCTGCAATGTGAACCAAAGCATAGAGGTTGGGAGATTTGCTTCAAAATGGACTGCTGGTTCAAACTGCAGGACTAATGCGGACTTGCTTCCCTTCTGAGTCTAGCATTTTGAAAATGACAGTGTCAGATAAAATAGGCTGTTTCAAAAGCCTTTAATTTTTGAGTGAGTATTTTCACAGAGGACAAGTGAAGATAAAATTTGTATTATAAATTTTACAAGTAATCAGTTGATCCAATTATTTAGTTATGAAAATGCTGCTTCTATTAAATAGTATAGGCAAACAATAACAAAAAAATCTGCTGTTCCATCAGTATATTACAAGTATGGAGTTGTTACACAGTCTGTCATTATTGAGGATAAATCTGTGCCTGAACATGTGACTCATCAATGGTTGTGAGTTAACTGGACAGAAAACCAAGAAAAAATAATTTTTGCTATTTGGTTTATCATTTTTGTTTTTCCCTGTGGACTTGCTCAAAAATCCAGTTGTGAATTTGAAAGATGTCCTAAAGCAAAAATAGTTTCATCGAGGAAAGCAAAATTGCGGTCACATTTTTAACAGGCTAGTCTCCAAAATGACAACTGTTGAGATCAGATAACAAATGTACTCCAGCTAAAGACAATGGGGTTGAGAATAAGCTTTAAGCAGCTGCCAAGATTTAGGCTGAGACAAAACCTTTGTTCTCTCTTCTGGCTCCTCAGCACCCATATCCTCCCTGCTGTGTTACCATGTGCAGCAACTTCATTCAGCATAGCACAAGTTAGGCTTTTAAAGCAAGTAAGAGAGCATGAAGTGCTTGAAGGGTACAAGCTTTGAAGTGACAATGCTGGCAGTGGGAGTTCCTATGACACTGGGTCACCCACTCTGTTGGTTCATGTTAGCTCTTGGCTATTTAGAGCCTAAATCAAAGGATTTGCATGTCTGCCAATGCGTAGAATCTTGGATGTATAAGAAAAAACGTTAGTCTTACTGGATACACAACTCCCTGAACTGTACTGATATTTTTGATGCTGATTCATTATGTGATACATGATAAATGATGTAAAGCTTCACTAAGTTGACCACACTGCATACAACACACCATGTCAGCTGCCCTTAAATCTGGAAATACTATTCTTCATAATTAATCAATGTGATGGCTATTATCCCTTGAGGGCCACGAAGCAGTGTGCCACTGAAGTCTCTATTTGTAGAAGAGCTTTGAGACTATGATGTACTTAGTGCTTTCTGTAGCTGGATTGCAAAAAAAATACAGGAAATCTATTGATTACTGTATTTCGAGGGAGTTAAAATACAATTTCCATACATGGTAGTCATGCATCAACAGCAAGGGTGTGTAAACTTCTGTCATGCTCTGCTGGTTCAAAATAATGCCTGAAGTTTTTAGTGGCACTGTCACCCCTGTTAATGTAGTCAGACACCTTTCTAGGTTTTCTGTGTGTGTCTCTCTTAAAAGGTTATCTAACTTGTTCTGGACGTTTGATTATTGAAGCATAGCTGTATAAAATAGAAGTTACTAGAGTACATTTAGACTTCTTATAAACAACAGAAGTTGAAAGGTTCATACTCTTATAAAACAGTTACATTAAATAATGCTGTTTGATCAATTCTAGTCAAAATGCTTCTTCTCGGTTGCCTGCATGGTGAGATATTTCTCCAAATGTGGTATAGTCATTTATATGTAGGCTAAACTGTAGAAAAAAACCCCATAAAATTAATGGAAAAGCTGACAAAGCAACCTCAAATGGGGGGAAAAAAGGGACTAAGGAATTAACTCAAGGAGATACAGATGAGAGAGTAAGTTGAGATTTACTTAGAGGTCCAGCATCTGTTTTGATGATTGCTGCGCCTAGGAGGAAAATTTGTTGGAAGCTGTGAGACTTCTTAAATTATTTATAAGCACAGTAAAACATACTTGGACAATTCAAAGAATAGCTCTAACATCAGGGGAACAACTGTACACTGAGGAATGTCTTACTGGAAAAAAAAATCCCTTTTGTTTGAGAAAAACGTTTTGGATTTAGTATATTTGTATCATCATCTTAGGTTGGATGGAAGACTTCCAGTTTGGGTTTTTTCATATGCAGAAAAATTAACTAACTTCAAAATCTTTCCTCAATATCAAAATAGCAAGATTTACTAGAATGAAAATTCCTATTTTATAGTCAGCCATTTTTAACAGCATCTCTGATTAATGTGATTACCAGCTGCATTGCAGTTGCATTAAAGCAGTGAATGACATTTGAAATGCACTTAATTCTTATAGCAAGTTCAGATTGCAGCTCAGCACTGGTGTTAAAGGCTAGGGCCGAGCAGTCAATTCAGAATTACTCAGAGATGAAGTGTGTAAAAATCTTAAAGGGGGTAAGCCCTGAAAAAGTGACCTTTAGGCAAAATACTAGTCTCTTGCTGTGGTAATAGTTTTATCCATTTCACATATGGCATCCACCAAGTGCTCATATCCAGCTCTAATCAAAGCTGAAACTGTAATGATTAGGCTTCATTTTGAGCTACTCTAATGAGCTCCATTTACCCATATTCTGTGCGATGTTCTACATTTGCTTTAACCTGTAGAAAGGAAGAAGAATTACAGATTATAAAGCCATCTCTAATCAGCTTTGGGTAAGCCCAGCTCTGAGGCAGGGGTTATTTGTAGGCTTTGTTTAGAATAGTGAACTCACCTTCGCTGGGCTTAGCAATTCCCTCCAGATGGCTTTTGAGTATCCCAGTTTTACTAGGCATTCTTTCCTTTCATCCAGAAAATAGATGGCTTGTTATTTAGCGGTGTCTGATTAAACTTGCAGCAGAATTATTCACATTGTGGCTGACATGGTTCATCAATTTAATGGTGCGTGGAAACGGACATAAAAAATATCAGCATATGAAAAATTATCTTCTGGCTGTGCTGTTTCGTTCTGTGTTGAGCTGCAGTGATAGTGTTCCTAACTTCTTTAATTCCTGCTTGGAATGGCTTTGGTAAACCTGCTGTTGTATTATGACAACATTTTTGATCTCTGGCTTTCCAATAGGGAAAACATTTCTAGAAGGTTAAAAGATTCAGATGTACTTCATTTTAAGAAATTAGGGGAAGATGAGTTATTTCCCCCCGATCTCCATTTCTGATAAGTCAAATTCTTTTCTAATTCCTTTGCTTTGCTTCTGTCCTTGTCATAGGAACCTGTATATGCTTCTACTTACTCTCCTGTTATACCCGCTCTCCATAAATTTCATCCTTTTCTACCTATTAATCAGGTGAGCAAAAGTCTGCACAATTTAAATGCTCAACAATTTCTAGTAAGCACATTTTGACAGTCGGGTTTTTTACATAGGAAATTAATAATCCTCTTAACTGATTAACCAGTTTAGTAAATGCTGCTTTAAAGAAACATAGTATTATGCCACTATGCTGTGTACTCTTCTTCAGTATACATTCTGCTACTATTTCTCTTACGGTTGCTTTTCCAAAGATTCCTTATCTGTTACACTATATCGCTGAGAAAGTAAATGAAGGAGACATTATTGCATTCATTATAACACTGAAAATGTGCAAGTCATTAAAAAGGATATATAAAAGAAGCAGTATGTAGCTGCACAGCATTTATTTTAGAATAAGATGCTGTGTACCCTGGCTTCTCTGTAAGTAATGCACATATGCAATGTAAGACATAAAATCATCTGATTTATTGAGTGTAAAAAAAACAAGCTGCTTTTGTTCAGAGGTGACTTTCCTTCAGTGCTTTTCCCTAGTCCTTGTCTAAAGGATTTTTGCCTTGGCACACCCTGCTTCTATTCTCTGACTGTCCCATCTTCCTGCTTCTCTCTCTTTCTTCCTTTAAGGTCTGTAGTACTAGTTTGAAAGAATCAAGCTCTCTGGTTTCTGATGAACGTCATCCTTGGAGATGGAAGGTGAAATGCTGTGTAAACTTCCTATTTAATTATTGGAGGGAGGATTTAAGAAAATGACATTCAGACCTAAGAGGCACATTCCCAAAGTCACTTGTGGCAACAGAGTTAACTTTGTGTTTGCTTGGGAATAGAGTTCTGCTGCGGTTCCGGTAAATGTTAGAGGAGCTTCACGTGACATATTCCTCAAAATTATGTCCATACCTCTGCAATTCTGTCATAAACAATTCAAAGAACTTGCTTCTGAAGAATTAATAGATAATGAGAAATACAAAGTTT